ACATTCCCTCTAACATTTCTCATTTTCCATTTCTGTCATATTAACTAATCTGATAAGTATGAGGGGGTACTTCAGAGTTGTTTTAATTTACTTTTCTCTAAACAATAGTGATTTAGAGCATTCTTTCATATGACTCAAAGCTTTAATTTCTTCATCTGAAAAATGTCTGTTCACATTTTTTTTGATGAGTCAATCACGGTTAAGTGACTTGCCCAGGGTCACACAGCTAGTAAGTTTCAAGTGTCTGAAGCCGAATTTGAACTCAAGTCCTCTTGACTCCAATGCCAGAGTTCTGTCTACTGCGCTGTTCATATCCTTTGAACAGTTATTGATTGGGGAATGATTTGCATTTTTATAAATTTGACTCAGTTCTCTATATATTTGAGAAATGAGGCCTTTCTTAGAGAATCTTGCTGTAAAATTTCCCCCTAGTTTTCTGCTGTCCTAATCTTGACTGTGTTGGTTTTGTTTGTGCAAAACCTTTTTAATTTAATATAATCAAAGTTATCAATTTCACATCCCATAGTGTTCTCTACCACTTGTTTAGTCATAAATTCTTCCCTTGTCCATAGATCTGACAGGTAAACTATTTCGTGCTCCCCTTATTTGCTTATGGTATCACCCTTTATATCTAAGTTATGTACCCATTTTGACCTTATCTTGGTATATGGTGTGAGATGTTGGTCTATACCTGGTTTGTGCCATACTGCTTTCCATTTTTCCCAGTAGTTTTTGTCAAATAATGAGTTTTTGTCCCAAATGCTTGGATCTTTGCATTTATTACACACTAGATTACTATGATAATTTATTATTGTATACAGTGTACCTGATCTATTTCACTGATCCACCGCTCAATCTCTTAGCCAGTACCAGATTGTTTTGATGATTACCACTTTGTAATACAGTTTCAGGTATAGAACTGATAGGCCACCTTTCTTCACATTTTTCATTAATTCCCTTGATTTTCTTGACCTTTTGTTCCTCCAGGTAAATGTTATTACTTTTTCTAGCCCTACAAAATAAGTGTTTGGTAGTTTGGTATGGCACTGAGTAGGTAAATTAATTTAGTTAGAATTTCATTTTTATTATATTGGCTCAGCCTACTCATGAGCAATCAATATTTTTCTAATTGTTCAGGTCTGACTTAATTTCCATGAAAAGTATTTTATAATTATGTTCATATAGTTCCTGGGTTTGTCTTGGCAGGTAGACTCCCAAGTATTTTCTATTGTCTACAGTTATTTTAAGTTGAATTTCTTTTTCTATTTCTTCTTGCTGCTAGATTTTGTTGGTAAAATATAGAAATACTGATGATTTATGTGGGTTTCTTTTGTATTCTGTAACTTTGCTAAAGTTGTTAATTATTTCAACGTGTCTTTTAGTTGATTCTCTAGGATTCTCCAAATATCACAAAGAGTGATAGTTTTGTTTCCTCATTGCCTAATTTAATTCCTTCAATTTATTTTTCTTGTCTTATTGCTATAGCTAGCATTTCTAGTACACTGTTGAATAATAGTGATGATAAATGGGCATCCTTGCTTCACCCCTGATCTTATTGGGTAGACTTTGATGGTATTAAATATTAATTGAGTGAATGAAGTGAATAAGTGAGTGAATGAATGAATGAGTGAATCAATGAAAGGTAAATGTAGGAGGTGTCACCTTTCTCCAAGGAGACAGAGAGTAGGATAATTTGGAACTGGGAGAATCTCTGAAGGAAAGACTGATACTTTTCAGGTAGGAAGGTTAGAAGTTCGTAGACTGGAGAATTATCACAAGTCTAGTTGTTTTTCTGGGTTAAGCATCATCCTCTAGGCTTCTCTTGAAATGTAAACCCCATGCCCAAGAAACAACTCTTCAATAATTGCATCACAACATATAGAAATAATGGGAAAGGAGATGGGACCACTGAACATGATGATGGCCCATCTGAAAGAGGGAGCAAGGGGATTGGTTTCTTTAGGACCACTACCTTCTCCCTTTCACTCTTTATTTTCTTGATTCTTTCCCTCTTTACCCCAGCTCTGCTCATGAATTAACTTAGAAGGAGAAGAATACGCTAATCCCTTTTCTTGACCTCTGGCAGTAAACTGGCCATGTTGTTGGGCTCTTGTGGCCCTGAGTCCTTGGAGATGCTGGGGGTGGTCATAGTGGTGATGGTGGAAAGGGAGTCCATTCAGGGAAGGATTCAGGTTAGACTGATGGAGTCAGCAGGAGGAGAAGAATAGGAAGATATCTAAGTCAGGAACAAAAACATGGCCTACATTCAGAACATAAGAAAAAAGAAAACACTAGAGCAAACAGAGCATAGAAGAGATGTCAAACAATACGTAAGGGCTGGGGGGGGGGGTCTTAGTTTGGTTCTGTAGTTCTCAAGGGCACTCATCCTGGCAGGTTGCTCATTATAGCTAATAAAAGCACTATTGGTCCTTAGGGCCATTCAAGTCAAGGACTTCAACCCCTTTTCCCCCTTTTATTTCTTCCCTTTTGTTTGCCAGTTCCTTTCAGCAGTGACAGAAACAAAGCTCCTGCCTGGTCTGCTTTGTCCTTCTTCCTATATCAAGCTCCAATTTCTTTTTTCTCTGTTACCTTCTTAAGTTTTCAACTTCACAATACTCTTGTTCCTGGCTTGGTTGCTGGTAGCTTCAGAAAACATCTCTGATAGTAACATTTCAGCTCTAGAAATACTGATGTTCCATTTTTTAGTGTTCCCAAGGAAAATATTATCTTGTACATGTTTGAAAATGAGAGTAACACTTTATGATAGCCTTGCATATAAGGACCTAATATCAGCAGACTGAAGAGCCCTTCCTTCTTTTTAACCCAAGGGTTGCCAAGAAGCAAGGAAAAGAAGTCAATAAAATATAAGGGGTACCACTGGAGTGTCCCTCCCATGGTTAATTGCCCTGAAACATTTTCCCCAGTGATCTTGTCTAGTGCCTGAAGTTTCATCATCAGAGAGTTTTTCCTTTAGGCTAAGGTACTATATTTATTCTTACAGTGTTTTCCCTGGAACATTCTTTTGCTTTTTTATTTTTTCATATCAAAATCCTAACCAGTCTATAAGGCCCATTTCAACAGAATTATTATTTTTTTTTCTGGGCATTATTTCCTTTATCTATAACATAAGGGAGTTGGTCTACAGAGCCCTGTAGGAAAGACAGAAAGCAGCATATACCAGGTGGGTCAAATTACTATATGTCTAGTAAAACTAGTAAAGCTACAGCTAGTAAAGACCCAGAAAAGAAAGTTCTTTCTACCAAGGTCCTTGGCATTCTTAAATGGTTCAGCATCAGAAATGGATATGATTCTATCAATGGTAATGACACTAAAGAAGATATATTAGCATCTGCTTTGCTGCTATACTCCGAGGATCACTGAGCTTTTCCATCTGCTCTTCAGCTGAAATCTGCATCATCTCCTCTATTAGACTGTGAACTCTTTGAGAAGAGGGGCTTTTGAAAATTAGGACATTTTCCAGTCTCCAATATTTTGGCGTATTTCTAATTCAGCATGATTTCTTAGAGATGATCAATAATGAGTCTAAGGTCCCATTTATAAGCTTTTTCAGTACTCTGGAATATAATTAATATGGCTCTGGATATTTGAACTTAACTAAAGTTATCTTCCTATACCTCTATTTATATAGTAGTTACTTAGGTAAACCCTTCTACTCTCTGAGGGTGCCATCTCCACTTGTCCCAATGTATATCTTGCCACTGGACCCAGATGGCTCTGGAGGAGAAAGTAGGTTGGTGACCTTGTATAGCCCTCTCTCACTTGAATCCAATTCACTTGCAAGTCATGGCATTATCTTCCTGATGTCATGGACCTCTTTGAGAATGAAGAACAAACAACAACAATCTACCCTCTGATCAGCCCCAGTTGGACACGCTATAACTTGACTCTAATATAGTGATGTCATTTTGGTCCTCTTTGAGAACAAAGAACAACTAATCTATCCTCTGATCTAGGGATACCTTAGGACACATGCACAAGATGTGATCCACTTGTGAATATAAGAGGGAACATATAGAACATGAGGAGAAAAGATGGACAGACTGGGTTTTAAGAAGGGGAAAGGCCTGTGCAACAACATGGGTCATTCAGAGAACTATGTTTACTGAGAAGCTGCTGTCAAATGGAGATTCTGAAATTATGAAAGAGGCCTGATAAGGAGGAGCAAACCTGAAGACCTTGTCCTTGCTAGGACTAAAGAACTGGCATAGAAGGTAATTATGTATACTGAGGAATGACTTGGACCTAGCCCATTACTGGTACTGTGAGTCATGTGAACTATATAGGCCTGATACTTATAGAGGAACCAAAAGTCCCCTTTTCTGCATGGGTAGGGGGAAGACATTAACCTGATACAGATGTTCTTATAGTTTTCCTTGGAAGGAACATGAATCAGAGAAGTTCTATTAGGGACTCTCTAAAATTTTACTCATATCTATCATGTACTAGGGACCCAACTGACACCTAAAGTTACATTTGCAGGTAGTGGGGAAGGTTGATCATGAGATCCCTGATTGATTACTTTCTCCTCAGCTTATTTGATGAAAGTACAGAGTGTACTGTGGGGAGTGGGGAAAGTATTAGACACAGGTGTTTTGGTAATTTTATTAATAAATTTTGTTGAAAATTATAGAATGTAAGGGACAACAGGTATTAAGGTCTTAAATGAAGAATAAAGGAGCATTTACACCATGTTACCCCTTTACAAGGCATGAAGAAATTCTTCATTCAAATTTAATTGAATTATAGGGTGAATATCCATTGACTAACTGAAGGCTCAGTAAAAACATAGTGGCATTTAAAGAGCAAGTCATACTCTCCAAGAAGTGAATCAGAGAGGAGACAGATTTGAGGAGTGTGACCTCTGGCAGTCAAGAGTAAATCCAGTTATGGAAGAAGAATGAAGCTTTTAAGATGGAATTACTCCTTGCCTTTTTGGAGTGGAGTGGGCATAAAGAATTCTCTTTCTTTCCCTTAAACAGCCATGGTGTCTTGCAGTAGAGCTACTTTCCCATCAGGAAACCCTGTGCCATCAGAGAGCATGCCCAGAAATCCCAGTGGAGCGACATACCCAGCAGGCATATTGTGCCTAAGAAGGACAGCATAATCAAAGAAGATGAAGACCTTGTGGCATCAACTGTGTGTCACATTGGCACATTGGACATATGCGTTCTCTAAGTGTATGCCTCTGTACAATTATACTCCATGTGTTCCCACAGTATGACTCTGTGTGCATTTGTGGGAAGGTATACCCTAGGTAGGTCCACGGTGTGGAAAACAGGAATGTTTTGTAGCTACTGGTTTTTTTCCTATGCCACCTCAGAAAACACCTATACTTTGAGTTAATTTGTGTCCTCTGGCTGATTATTAAAGGCAAATGCACAGTTGGGGCCCCATGAGCTATGGTTTTAGGAATGTGGACCCACTGACTATCCCCTGGAACCTATTGTCATTATACCTGAGATGTGCCAGTTAGAAAGGTAGCCTGGAGGGGGTCCTGTATATATTATGGGCCATATATTAACTTCTGGGTAGAGGCTTTGTCTCATACTTCTTTTTGTGATACGATAGCACTCAGTACAATGATAGACATACAGGCATACTCTGAATGCATCAGTGAAGAATGCATTAGAGCTTCACATCCCTAGTGAATTAGATGATAATCTGGATTGCATCCAAAAGATCTATTGAATGGCTCTGTTGCTAGGAGATCATCTTGTGGTATTGTATCTATAAGTTGGATTGAGGGCTATGACTTCAGTTTTACCTTTCAGATGACCTCTCCTGCTAAATGGCATAGAGTCTCATCACCATCTTGAAAACTAGAAAAAAGAATAAAGGTGATATGTCCTAATTAAAGTTCAACCCTCTGGCAAAGAATTGGAAACTGAGGGGATGCCCATCAACTGGGAAATGGCTGAACTAGTTATGGCATATGAACATGATTAAGTACTCTTGTTCTGTAAGAAATAATGAAGGGGGGGGCATCTAGGTGGTGCAATAGATAGAACAGCAGCCCTGGAGTCAGGAGGATCTGAGTTCAAATCTGGACTCAGACACTTGACACTCACTAGCTGTGTGACCCTGGGCAAGTCACTTAACCCCATTGCCTGGCAAAATTTAAAAAAAAAAAGAAAAAAAAAGAAATAATGAAGGGAATGGTTTCAGAAAAACCTGGGAAAACTTATATGAACTGATGCAGATTAAAGTGAGCAAAACCAGGTGAACATCATACATAGCAACAGCAGCATTGTAATGATAATAAACTGTGTAAGAGTTAGCTACTCTGATCAACACAATGATCCACTATAATTTCAAAGAACTCAAGATGAAAAACACTATCTACCTCCAGAGAGAGAACTGATGAGCTCTGAGTACATAAGGAAGCATATTTCCCCCCTCTTTTAAATTTTATTTTTGCTTTTTTTTTTGCAACATGGCTAATGGGGAAATATGTTTTATATGACTTCATATATGTATAATGGGTATTATATTTCTTGCTTTCTCAATGGGTGGGAAAGAGAATTTTGAACTGAAAATTTAAAAAATGATTTTTAAAAATCTTTAAATTTTTTTATTAATTTATTTTGACTTCTCAATAAGCACTTCCATAAAGTTTTGAGTTTTAAATTTTTCCCCCTCCCTTCCCCCTTCCCTCCCCAAGATGGCATATAATCTGATGTAGGCTATACATATACATTCCTATTAAACATATTTTCACATTAATCATGTTGTAAGGAAGAATTAGAACAACAGGAGGAACCACAAAAAAGAAGAAATAAAACAAAACAGAAGAAAAAAAATAACAAATAGTATGCTTTCACCTGCATTCAAACCTCATAGTTCTTTTTTCGGATGTGGATAGCATTTTCCATCATGAGACTTTTGGAGATGCCTTAGATCCTTGCATTGCTGAGAAGGGTCAAGTCTATCAAAGTTAGTCATCATACAACGTGGCTGTTACTGTGTACAACATTCTTTTGGCTCTGCTCACTTCACTTAGCATCAATTCATGTTAATCTTTCTGGGTTTTTCTGAAGTCCACCTGCACATCATTTCTTATAGCACAATAGTATTCCATTACATTCATATACCACAACTTGCTTAGCCATTCCCCAATTGATGGGCATCCTCTCAATTTCTAATTCTTTGCCACTGCAAAAAGAGCTGCTATAAATATTTTTGCACATGTGGGTCTTTTCCCCATTTTTATGATCTCTTTGGGATACAGTCCTAGAAGTGCTATTGCTGGGTCAAAGGATATGCATATTTTTATAGCCCTTTGGGCATAGTTCCAAATTGCTCTCCAAAATGGTTGAATCATTTCACAACTCCACCAATGCATTATAATGTTCCAATTTTCCCACATCTTCTCCAACATTTACCATTTACCTGTTTTGTCATGTTAGTCAATCTGATAGGTGTGATGTGGTACCTCAGAGTTGCTTTGATTTGCATTTCTCTAATCAATAATGGTTTAGAGCATTTTTTCATATGACTATAGATGGCTTTAATTTCTTTATTTGAGAACAGCCTGTTCATATCTTTTGACCATTTATCAACTGGGGAATAACTTGTATTCTTATAAATTTGACTTAGTTCTCTATATATTTTAGAAATGAGGCTTTTATCAGAGACACTGGTTGTAAAAATTCTTTCCCAGTTTTCTGCTTCCCTCCTAATTTTGGTTGTATTGGCTTTGACTTTATTTAAAAAAAAAAGTCCAACCCTTATCCTTGGTGCTCCTTATCGTTTCTTAGAAATCCTTGACATTGCCATAATTTACATGAGACTCCATTGGAAAAAAATGCTTTTTAAAAATTCTTCTTTTCTTTGTGGCTATACACTAATAATTGTCATTACTCTCATCACCTTCAAATAAAATGCCTCCTGACAAAATATTTTCCTATTTGCTTCAGGTTTGGGAAAGAAGGGGATTTTTCATGTCTCAATAGGAACAACAAATTCCTGCCTCCCCCAAACTCAGATGATTTCATACATTTTAGGTAAAGACACAGAAATTAAAGCAAGAAGTTGCAAAGGAAAACAAACCACAGCTGTTGGTATTTCTCCCCAAAGCACCAGAGATACAACCACATTCAGTACCTGTTCAGGTGGCCTCTTGACGCTATAGAGAGCCACATTGCTTTTTTAAAAAAAACACAGTGTTTGCTTTCATTTCTAAATGAGGCAGCTTATGCAATAATCACTGTGGCTTTTCTTACTCACATATAACCTTGAAAGAGAAGTCACCTGATAAGAAAAAAAATACAACCACAGCTGGCATCAAAAGCTTATAAATATTGCTTTCTTGAGCATCTAGTTCCTAAATATTTGCATATATCAAATTCAACTGAAATCCCGATGTTTCTTCAAATTGCTATAACTCCCCCACCCCCAGCATCCCGTGATCATGAACAATCTATAATTTGCCATTTAACAAACTGTCTCATTTGGGGGGAAGGGTGAGTAAAGGGAGATGGGAGGGTGGGAGAAGAGGAAGAACAAGAGCTGGAGAATTAAGGGAGAAAGGATGGAGAGGAAAAGGTAGGGGCCTTAGATTTAATCTTTTCTAGGCATCTAAATTGCTATTTAATTTCTGACCCCTCTGAGTCTCTGTGTGACAAATATATTTGGCTCAGGATAGATTATACAAGGCTATAGAATCCTTTGTTTTGTGTGTGTGTGTGTGTGTGTGTGTGTGTGTGTGTGTGTGTGTGTGTTATATTTACTGGTGATATTTTCATTTTAAAACTTCACTAAACCTTGCTACTGCCATAATAGGAAGGCACTGGGGAAGAAAAAGGAATATTTCATTTATCTCATTCATCTTTATGTCCTATGGTTCAGCATATAAGCAATGAGGGCTCAAAGCCAAAGGTACAAACCTACAGGCAGGCACCGAGATATATATGGGCAATGGAGGAAAAGTCATTATTGTCTGTCTGCATTCTGAGAAAAGAGATGCCAGAATTCCAGAAAAGGAAGAGGCACTTTAGGGAGCATAAGAAAACTCTTAAACAGGCAGAATAAAATGATGCTAATGGAATGTAGGCATTAGGCTGGGAAACAGTCAAGATGGACTCCTAATGGCAGCTGGACCATTTGAACAGGATATGTCTTCCCAGCTCATGCTCCTTCGTTCCTTGCAGCATTTACCTTTGGGACCTCCCCTCTGAAGAAAAAACCAGGACTGGTGCATCAGGATAATAGATAAATAAATATAGGGCAATCGTTTTGTTAGCTTGTCACATCTTCTGGCTAATTATTTAATCACTCTAATTTAAAGTTTTACCAGATTTAGCATCAAAACATAAAAATCTTGTGATTGCAATGTCAGAAAGTAATAATGTAATTAACTTATTTAGTAGTAACATATTAACTGTACTGATTGCTAGGCACTAATCTTAGAATGAAACCACAGGTGAAAGTATGTACCTGAGCATGTATGTAATCAGCAATGAGGTAAGGATATATGCCCAGGAGCATGCTGTAATTTATTGAAGATACTGTTAACCAACCGATCCTCAGGTGACCAACCCCACTGTTGCTTCTTTGTAACTCTGCTCAATAGACACAGGGGACTTTGAACTGCTGCTTTCCTTTGGGGTTTTGTATGATGGGGGTATGGTAATGTTTGGGAAATAATGGGAAAATATGGTATTTGAAGTACAGTAGTTCAACTGAGATTTTTACCCTATACAGCTGCTAGTTAAATATAGGTGGGCTTAACTTGAGACAACACTTGTGATCTGAGATACTGCATGTGAGTCAGTTTTGTAAATCCAAACACAACTAACTTCATAAAGGAAGTTCCACATGTAAAGTACCCCTCAGTGAACCCTTTTGTAAAATGAATAATCACACCTCACCCTTGCCACCTCTTTTGCTTGTTTGTAAAAATTATATTTTCATCTTTTGAGTTTTCTTAATGGACAGTGAACTTATGGGAGAACATGGGTGGGAGCTACACATGATGGGTAGGAATGTGTGTATCACAATCTATATTACTATCTAGCTATCCCCACAAAGATTAACTACCTCTTTTCAATGTACTCTATGAAGCTGCAGTCCTAAAACTCACAAGCCCCTACTGGTGCACTTACCTTTAATAGTCAGCCAGTGGACGCAATTATCTCCATTGATGAGATCACAGATTGATTTGGATATTAGAGATTTTTGTGAAAGCAAGGACAATATCTCTCTCCCTTTTATGCCCCTTTCCAATTTTGCCAATCAAAAAATGCTTTTCTTAACTTTTGGTCCCTGAAATGGTACACATAGGTTAGTCGCAAGGGGTGAAACGCACTGCTGGATTCCTAAGGTAGAATCTTCTTTTAATGAAAGGGCGTATGTCCTGGCCTCTCTTATTCCAGAATATTGGGTCACTCTGGTTTTAACAACGATACTTGGGTGAAGTTTGCAAGCATGTTGGTATGCAGACCTGTTGCACCCATCTTCGAGTCACACAAGTTTTAATTCACTTTCTTATCAGCTTTTTTTTTTTAGTATATGTGGGGGGAGATTCTGCTTCAGAAGAGACTTTAAAATAGCTTGAGGTTTTCTGTAGCTTGCTTCTTGGCCTAGTTCAG